CTTTTTTTTTTTTTTTTAATTCAAGAAAATGGAATCTCAAGTATCAAAAAGAAAACAAAAAGGGGAAAAAAAAAAAAACTGTTATTTTTATATTTTGGAAACCACAAATCTGTTTAATCCAGAATCGAAAGGAGTTCTGATCATAGTAACTGACCTCTTTGGCAGTACCCCATGTTATATGGAAAGACTTTTTTGTCATAGGCTGGGTATTCCTTAGCATGGAACCTGCCATTTTTTTTGGCATAAATGCAGCAAGTGAGAAAGAATTTAGTATCTAAATAAAGGATCAGGGGAACAGCAACAAACTAATTAAAACAAGCACCCATTGTACTCGTTTTCTATTAAATCCAGGTTTCCTTGTCTATCCAAGGAGTCTACATAAAAGAGTGTGTTTCGCAATGCAGACTGCATATATTTCCCTCTAACCACTGGTATGATACTTACTATACATTAAACAATTTCTTTATTTGTTTCTGAATATATACATTTTATCAACAGCAGAATAGCTATCCAGGCAAATCTTTCACCCACTAAGAAACTTTCATAATACCATCAACAACATCTTACGGAGTACCAATTCCAAAACCTCAATAACTTTCCAACTTCTTGATCCTACAAGTCACCAAACACCTCACATTCTCGTTCCACCAAATTCTGGCATTTGACATACTCTTATATTTTCATAAACCAAAATCCAGTCCAACTGTCAACGTCTTAGGCTCTTACACATTTCACTTTTCAAGGGTATAAAGAGAATTGTACAAAAAACAACCACAAACAATTTTATAGCCACAAAGTTGAGGAAAATTTTTTTGCCCCACAAAATACTATGATCTAGCACCATGGAGTTTAAACAATATCATACTGCAACTTCAATTACAGCTTTAAATTCACGATTGCACTGTGCAAATTGCCATAGATAGGATATGTTGTCTTCTCTATTATGCTCATTTCTAGAGCAGTATAGTTACAATAGGAATTTAACTTACAATATTCCAAGTCTTCCGGTGTCTTTGGCAAGAAAGAGGTGACCATGGAAGAAGTCATAGCGATTTAAAGAAACATCAAGTCCCACACTTGGACCCCGTGAAGCAATCATGTCAAATAAGAAAACAAGATAAGCATTCAACTCCTGCAGGTTGAATAACATCTCACATAATCTGTGAAGAACAAAGAAAATCATAATGCTCTGTAGCATTAAAGAACCTAAAGATTTTTAGTTTAGTTTGTACATACATCATTTATGAAATGCCAGCCATAGGGAGTTCTGGTGAGATGACACTTACATTCCTTCGATCCTTCAACATCAGGAACCTATTACATGGATGTTCAGAGTGTCAACCAAGTATATACTTATGAAATGGTTTTTTTTACTGACCTAGCAATATGGATTCAGGGAGTGAAATGCAAAATGTAAGCAAACAAAAAAAAACCTTCTTCTAGATTTTGGAAGCTTCCATCGAACAATTCATAGTTAAGGGTTCCTATTTCATTCTTACAAATCAGATTTGTACAAGTAATTGATTAATTGCTCGAGTGAAGAGCAAAACAATTAAATCAAAGCCACAACTCATAATCACATAAAAAGCCAGCCTAGTCTTAAGTGCACATAATCTTATACAAGACCTACTTTACATAGAAAATTTTCACGTAGATTTGGAGGGAAATCTGTTTGGTTTCCAATAGAAATGAATCAATCATATCTTAGCACAAGAAATGAATTATTCATTCTGACTCTCCAGTGACTTTTACATACCGTCCTCCCCTTGAACACAATTTCTATTATACACCCAGTACACCATAACCCACTGCAAGTCCAAGCCTGGATAAAGGAGGAGGGTTTCGGTAGGCCAGTGACAGCTAGTGTAAAACTTCGTCACATCAATTAATTTTTAGAAACCAAATTATTCAAAATTCTATTTTTTTCACATTATTCAAAATTCTATTATTCAAATTATTCAAAATTCTATTACTCAAAATTTTATTTATTTTCCAAAGGAGCAAAATTTTGCAGTTAATTTTTGGAAACCAAATGAGCATTATTATTGTTCTTAATTGATCATCATCTCAACATCAATTGTGCACACCTTTTGCTCTATTCTACATTATCAAAACCAATTTAAACAAACATTTCACAAAATCCCTTAACAATTGTGTATTTGGCATTTACTAAATCATCTTATGAAATCAACCTTAATTTCTGATTCTTGTTTTCATTTGCCATAATCCAAACTATGCATTATACAAATGAAAATCAAAATTTCCGAAAAAAAAAACTCACAGGTATGATCGTAGGATCTAGGGCACGGTGAACAACAGCAGGATCACCACCAGAATCAACAGAAAGGCGAGCAAGTTCCAAAACCGAGGAAGGCGGCCACAAAATCAACTCATCCTCTTCATTCTCTCTCCTTTGACCAACAACACTAACCATTGACCTCCGCTTAACATCAACATCATCATCAATTGACGTAGAATTGAACGGAACAAGAAATCTGAAGCAAGACCTGAGTTGTCTCGCAACAATTGGATGAACCTTGGAAGCTTGATCTTCGGGGCCGAGGAGAGAGAGTAGGTCTGCAACTGTGGCTTTGGGAGGTTGAGAAGAGGGGTTGCGAGAGGAGAGAGAAAATGGGAAAGATGGTTTAGGGTTTAAGGAGAAGGAAGAGGATGAAGAAGATGAAGTGAGTGTGAAGGAGAGAGAAAAGAGTAGCGCCACTTTGATTGAGGAGGAGAGAGAAATGTGCCTCATTTCAGGATTGCGCCTACTCGTATCTCTCCCCTCCTTGTTGGTTGCTGCTGGTTTCCCTCTCTTTCTTGTTTTGGTTTTTGTACGGTTGTCGCGGCGTTTTGGTCTTGGCGAAAACTTGTATACAACGAGTGTATGTGGATTAAATCTCATGAAATTAAATGTTATGATTGATTACCAATATTGATAACTTGTATGCAGTAGTTGCTATGTCATTTATTAATGTGCCCGATTACAAATCATGATGTTAAATTTATAAACATTCAAAATAACAAATTGGAAACTTACACATATTACAGTCATAACAATGAATGCTTGCAAAATTTTCCAAAGATTGTGTATTGAACATTCATCAACTGCCATCCACTTGAGTTACATCAAGCATTACATTATATGATACATTGATACATACGTTCATATTTTAGCAAAAAAAAAAATCATATAATTATGTAGCAATTCTTGTTGGGAGAGTTTTCCCTTCGAGTCTACCCGACTTGAATTCAGATTAGTTGGAGTCTAATAGGCTCTAGGATACCGAATATACTTGCATAAATAAGTTATCTTATACCTTTTCCCTATTAGTTTAGTCATATTCTCCTTTCTTCTTCTTTCCTCCTCTATATTCTCTCCCATGTTCCTCTCGCTAAAGAACACAAGTATCATGTCTACCCTTCTCAAATCATAATCAATCACTAACTTAATTTACACTCGTGTATTTGGAAAAAAAAACAAATATTTTAAAATTATTCAATGTATATTATCAAAATATCAAGTTTTTATAGGAAAAATTGACATAAATAATCCGAACTTTGCTTCATTCGCTCAAAATAATCCCAACTTTGAATTATTTTTTAATAATCCGAACTTTAATGTGAATTTTCTTCTAATGGTCCCAAGTGACCTGTAACCGTTTGAATAGGTGATTTTTTTAAAAAAAATAAATAAATTTAACTTACACATGTCACCACGTAATTGGTTAAAAATATTAATTAACTCTTTAAAAAAAATATTAGTTAACAATTATCACTTAATTAAGTAAATATAACTATGTTTCAAAAAAAAAAAAAAGTAAATATAACTAACTATTTAAAAATAATTATAAAAAAACCGACCACCACCAGCCACACTCCCTGCCCCCACACGCCCAGCCCTCCGCCCCCGCCCCCGCCCCCAGCCGCGCCCAGACCCCCCTTGCGCCGGCATCCGCCAAGAACTCCCACTGCGTCGCCTCTAAACCACCATAACCCCATCATGAAACCCCTCTCCCTCCCCCGAAAAATCCCTAACAAACAACCTTCGAAACCCTAGCACTAGGACAGAGAAAATCATCATCAACAACAGCAACAACTCGAAGCTTTAACAGTGGCGGCACCCGACGTTGAAGTGGTCGACTTCGAACCAGAGGAAGTCGATCTCATGGACGAAGATGGCGACGCCGGTGACGTCGACGGCTCTCCTAGGGCTTCTCATCCCAAGCTCAAATCCGCCATTGCCGGCAGCTCGACTGTTGGATTCTTGAAGAAGACCTAATAGTCATATGGCTCTCGTGAATTTGAATCTCTTGATTCTGATGGTGGACCTGGTCCCGCTCGTTGTTAATTTGTTTGTTAAGATGGTGGTTTAGGGGGCAACGCAGAGGGTAGGGGGAGAAGAAGCGCCGGCGAGGGAAAGGGGATGGGTCTAGGCGCGGCGGGAGGCGGGACCGGTGCTGGAGAATTGGGCGGGGCTGGGGGCAGGGAAGTGGTTGGGCTGGTGGGGAAGGTGGTGGTGGGTTTTTTTAGTTAATTATTTTTTTTAATTTAATGTATTTTATTTATTTTTGTTTTTTTGGCCAATTTCATGCTAACATGTATCAGACAACTTGTTGTAACAAGTTAAATGACCGGTTGAGACCATTAGAAGAAAATTTACATTAAAGTTCAGATTATTAAGTGAGATTATTTTGGGAGAATGAGCCAAAGTTCGGATTATTTCTGTTAATTTTTCCCTATATTTTTTTTTGATATTATTAATGTTAAAAAGATGCATCTATTAAAAAAAAACAAATGAATATTTCGGAATGAGTATAGGTATAACCTATGGAAATAGACTGTGCTTAGATTATGGCAACATATATACAGTTACATGAGAGGTGGAAAGAGGTTGATGAGGATACAACTCTTACAAAGGGAACTTTGGTGTATGGAAAAACCTTAATCAGAAAATTTGAGTTTTACCATTTTGAATTTTTTTCAAAGAAATAAACATAAAATTACCATGTGAACCTCAAGACATGAATAGATAAAACAAGAATTTGGGAGTAACATTAAATCATATACATTTGGATGCAATTGTACATAATCTACAAAACCAGTACTAAACCTTTTAATAAGCTTAAGTTCCAGAATCTCAGCATATGAAACAATGAAAACTCACTATATTACGCTGGCTATCTTCAGATCAGTTTGCAATGTACATAGCCATCGTCATTAGATAAATAGCTTGGCTTTTACATGAGTTCGTGACTTTTCATGATTAAATCTTGAATCTTCAGAAATTTTCCACGGTCATATAGGTACAAGCCCATTGCCAGCACAAGCCACCATTTATATGTTATGCTCTGCCAAATCCATGTTGCTTTGCTATCAGCAAGCAGTATCTGAAGCCAACACAAGTTCTATGAGATGAAATTTCCCCCAGTTCCCAATGGACGATATTAATTGCATATACTCAGATGTCACAATGGAGAAAATACCTTCAATACAAGATGGTGACCACCAATTTTTAAAAAGAAAAAGCTTGAGAAAATGAGGTGTTTTACCAAAATTTACTAGCACCAATATATGATATACAGAGTACAAAATAATATGAGTATGTATTACTCATAAATAGATTTAATGCTACAACCAAGTTTCTCTTCTGTAAACTCATGGGGAAAGAAGTCATAGAACATCAAATGCCATGGTTTATCAAAGCCTAAAAAGATACTCCCAGTGAAATAAATCTATCCCTCCCCAAATAGTAGTCATATTTTTTAATCCCTTAAACTTGGCTATAAAAATGTAAGGCATGAATCACGATAAAACCCTTTGTAAGTTATAAGCATCCAACTACCATGCCCTCCCCGTCCCTTATAGTAGGAAAATTTATGGGGACTTGAATCATAAAGCATAAAGAATTACTATTTCAAGAAAGGTGGCAGTCTTCCTATACATCCGAAAAAGTATTCATGTCAATTTTTTTGTTGTCCTTAATTCCTCTTCTTCAGGCCATTAGATGTTTAATTCCCTTCTATGTCACTCTCTTGCTACATGATCTTGATCACCTACCATAACAAAATCTTCCCCTCCTGTTTCTATAAACTTTTTCCCCAACCAAATGTAAGCTTAGCTAGATTTAGAAGCCTCCACATGAACACATACACATTCATATTATGCAATTACAATATAGCTCAATTGCTCAAAGAATAGGAAGAGCCATGAAATGATATACTTACCGAGAATTATAAATTATGTCAATAAAGAGGTTATATAGCATCAACAGCTTTAATTCCAGCGGTCTTGTCCCAGTCCTCAGGAGCAGAAACATCAGACATGATTTTTTCTTGGCCACGCCAAAGAATCTGTGACAAGATCAGTAAATTCATACATCAACCTTTTTTGCTTTCTATAAAGATGATGCAAATCGACTTTATGATTGAAGCACTCTATAGATGAAATCATACAAGAACCATGTAAGTATTAAAGTATGTAACACAAGAAATTTAGAAGGCATCAGTCATGAAGAAACTTGCCTTGTCTACGACACCAAAGTCCTTGGCTCTGGTTGCATCCATGTAAAATGGCCTTCTCATCACATTAGCAACAGCTTCCTCAGACTGATAACAAATATAACAAACAAATTGATTGAATAAATGCCTCACAAACAGATTCTGTTTTAGACAGCAAGAAAATCAATGTCATACTTACATTTTCTGTGTGCTTAGCCAATAGTCTCACAAGAGTGTCCCTGTTTATAATTACCTGCAACTCAACGAGATCAGATTCCCACACCAGTTGTCAAGCATAAGACTTGATTTAAATTAAAAATGACATGCAACGACATGGTATTTGCTTTCATGAGCTTACATCACTTCTTGAATCTAAAATCAGATACAAAATGATCAGTTATATACAGTGGCATACCTAACTTGGACTCTGTCAAGCTGTGCACTGTGAAATAATCGTTTTAATACCAGGATTTGGATGCTGCCAATACTTTAACATATTGTCCAATTTTAGAAACATATGGACAGATAATATTATCAATGTTTACAGCAATCCATGATCACATCTGGTATCAGCAAAGAGATTCAAGCAGTTGAATTAAGGCACACACCCTCCTCAAACTTTAGTTAACCTCCATCGTGTTTGCATAATGGTTTCAAATAAAGGTCACCACATTGTGATGATGACATGATGACCCAAGCCAATATAGACAGCATTTCACATAAGTCTGAAATTTTACTGGCTTGGGTCACCACATCAGCATGATGACTAGGGTGCTTCAACACCATTAACCTAGCACAGATCCCAGCCAGATAAAGAAACAGCAAGCTAAGACCAGGGTTGACCCTTAATGTTCAAGTAAACATGAAAGTGGAAATAAAACCAGAGGGCTTAACTGGGAGCTCTCAACATTTAAAGCCCGGAACGGAATTCATTTGTAGAGAGAGCAAATTGGACTAATGCTTTGTTTGGATAGCAAAGAAGGAAGGAAAGTAAGGGAAGGGAAAGAGGAGGAAGGGGAGGGAAGAGAAAGAGAAGGGAGAGATGAGCTCCATTTTCTCTCCAAATCTCTCCAATTTTGGAGGGATTATGCTTATTAAAGATAAAAGAAAATGGATCCTTCCCCTTTCTCCCTCCCCCCCCCCCCCCTCTCTCTCTCTTTACCCAAACAAGAGAAATTGTCCTCCTTTTCTCTTCTCTTCTTTTACTTCCATTTCCTTCTATCCAAACAAAGCGTAAAGCTTTATATGTCTTGGAAATATGATGAGGTCAGATATCCACATAAGCATCTCCCATTCGCTAGTCAGGCTCAAAATCATCCCCGGTGATGGGATAATGTTTCAGTGTTTCACTATCTCACAACTTTGGACAGGAACCATGTGGCACTACTAGTTAACTTTTCGGGCCATTTCAAATCACATTAATGAACCAAGTTCAATGAGTCAGATGGTGTAGATGAATAATAAAAATCAAAATACAGGCTGAATTAAAGTCTAAAAACAGGGATGAACCTCATCTTCTTTGCCCATATAACTTCATATTTCATTTCCATTCACATACATTTTACATGTAATCATGCTGTCTTATGGTCATGACTCATGCCAGGAGCAGTGATTTAAGCTTGGCGGTACCATAATATAATAAATACAATTACAATGTCTATAAAATTAAAATTATAGTGCTACCACAGGTAAAGTTAGGGCCTCGTTAGGAATAAACAAAAGACCTAGGCAACGAGTTATGGGATAAATTAGCATCTTGAATACACTAGATAAAGATCATATCCAGTGTAATTTTATAACAACACTTCTGCTTCAGAATAAACTACTCCAGTACTCCCACAGCTTTCAAGCATAAATAATATTATCAAAAATGTCAAAAAAAATTTGCAACAATGGAACTTGTTTTGCTGAGAATTTCCCCATAGGAAGAATATGATACAAACATACCTCTTTTGCACGAATTGCAACATCACTTGCTGGCATTAACCCAGATGATGGTACACGAGGTTGTTGGATCATGGCTGAAAAGTGTGTAAGCAAAATAATATGTTCAGCTCATGCATAAAAAGTTTATAACCCCATCAAACAAATATAAATGTGCAAACCTTTGGCATGCGGCATCATAAACCTTTTTCCCTTGGTTCCGGAAGAAAGAAGCAGGCAAGCGTGACCGATAGCAGCCCCTACAGCAACTGTGTGTATCTGAACTTGCAATAATGTCAAAGAAGCAGAACCAATGAGCAAATGACAAATTTAAGGAACAAAAAAATGCTTACAGAAACAGAAAGCAGGTGCAACAAATGTAAGCTCATTCAGATATTATCATCAAAAGCACATAATTGATCAGAAAAGGAAGAAATCATCAATAGATAGTAAAACAAGGAGGCATCTACGTGGGCATACAATGGTACATGTTAAGATTATGGCCTCAATTGGTAAATGCTGTTTTTCCGGCTTCTAAGTTGGCAGCTAACCATTAAATAGTTGATCTTGTCTATATGTAAATGAAAGCTTAGCATACATCAAATCACTAGTTAAAAAGCCTTACACTTCCCATGTCTCCATCACCAATCTAAATGTCCATAATACTCCAAGAGCCACCACACCTGAGCAGATTCGCTACGGGAAGGACCACATCTAGGACCATTTCAGCTCTATCAATTTTAGAGCCAAATTGGTACATCACAGGATTCACAGGTATAGGAGGAGAGGAAAAGTGTGCATATGATGATCTTTGGTGTTTAAGAAAAGCAAGCAAGAGTCAACACAAAAGCAAGGTTTGAACTGACAATGAAGGAGAGAAAGAGGCAAGAAGAGACAAGAAAAACTGCAAAAACTCAAGAGGTAGGGAAAAAGAGGATAGGTACGAGAAAGATAGCACAATGGATCGCGGCATGTAACTGATACTACATTACTACTTCCATTCTTTTGTTGGTTAAGCTTTCTATTTTCATTTGTTCCTTTTTATAGGTTACAATTTTGTTTATTTCATATATTAATTAATATTACCTTATACATACCCCACTTAAAACACACTCTTTCTTCCATACGAAACCCATTATAAAACTCTCTCCCAGTTTTTTTAACACAAGCCCCGCGTTATACACTCTCTCCTACTTGGTTTAAATTGAAATACTGACCGTACTCACTATTTAGGAACTGAAGTAATAAAGTAAAGGGTTGAAAGTAGGATGTTACAATAAATTCTTAAATGTAATGAAATGGATTTAAATATACTTCGTATTTTTCTTCCACTCACTTTTTTTTTTCCTGCCTCAACTAAAAGAAACAACTGCCTAGAGAGACTCTGAGGAGTAGGAACTGAAAGGAAGACTGAGACCCAAAATATTCATTGAAAGAAGGGATGTGAAAATGTAAATTATAATTATGAGAGGATTGTCCGAATTCCTGTTCCTAGTAATAGTACTGGACTACCGGGCCACAAGCCAATAATAAAAAATTCAAAAGGTGATAACATTAATTAATAACATTGGTAAAAACATATCATGTGCTAATAAACTTGGTAATTAAGGTGGCAATGGATTATAGCTGTAGTAGATAAAAATAACAACACCAACACCAAAAAGAAAAACAAATTACAGAAAATAAGAATACTAGTGACAAACTCACACTGCATATTCATCAACCAAACTAAATATACCCTAAATTGTATAGCTGTAGTCCTTTTCATCTAAATAGATAACATTATCTCTCTCATCTGCTTGACTTAATCATTGCTCGAAAGCCTGACTTGGCTTACATTGGGACTGAATGTTAAGTGGCACATGTGACTGAATCAAAGTAGTTGCCACCTGACATGAAGCTGACACTAGTTGCACTCCAGGTAGACCAGAATCATATAGCAACCATCACTGTTTCAACCAATACTCATGAATAGCATGCTTTATCATTTTTATATTATTCAGCTTATTGACAAATTGAAAGCTCTACAAATGTCACTTGACTTCCCATTTAAGACTAATGACAAGGAACAAGAAATTACACAGCAACCTAAGTGTTAAAAGGTGTAAGAATCCAGCAAATGCAAATAGACAGAAAGAAGCTACCTCATTTTTAAGCTGCATCATCGCATCATAGATAGCAAAACCTTCGGTTTCCATTCCAACCTGAAAATCATTAAGAATAAACCGATAAGCTTTACGCTCTAGAATATAGATATAGATAGCCAAACTTCCAATTAGTACCAAGCCCAGCAACAGGAGAAGAGGGTTTTAGCAGAAAAGTAAATAAAAGATAGTAGATGGAATGACCGAGTGAGTTTTGAGACTTGACATACAAAACCTCAGCAACCAAAAATCATCGTAAAGAAGAATAACTGTCATAACTTTACACATTTTATGTTACCCAATTGAAGTATCAAAGGACCAGATAGCCAAAACCCTTCTATATTACACCTCCACATTTCATCAAACAAGTTTAGCCTTTTACATGTGAATGATCAGAGGATGGAACAAACAGAAAGCAGGAAAGAAGCGAAAAAAAATTACTTGACATCTACACCATTGCGTTGATTAACAATAATCCACTCATGTAAGCATCAATTAATTACAAAAGTTAGAAGGTTTCAGAAGAGATTTCAAATATGAGGCATGCATACGACTGGAAAGCCACAAAAAAACCAGGCATATTCTTACATAGTGAAGACTCCACCTTGATAGGCCTTAATGTTTTTGTTTATTTATAAATGATGGAAGTCAAACCCATGTTGCAAATATGTTATTTTATTAAACCTCAGGCTATAAGTAGACTATGCAGATATTTGTTCTATATGTCTATTTGTGTAAAGCCAATACGTGTGACAAGTTGTTGTTTTGGGCTGGACGAATTTTTTGGATTGGATAATTATTTAGTCTTGCATAAATATATTGTGATAATATTCTGATTATTTATCTCTAACATATTTATCTTGTATTGTGATAAGATATTTATCTTTATTCTTATCTAACTAATTTGTTTTTCAGATTCAAATATATTTGTTTTTATCCCTTGAAGATAGGCTGAATATTTCTGTTGCAAGCTGAACGTTGGTTTTGAAATCCCAAAAATACAGCAAGATGAAAAGCAACGTTCAAAATTCAAAAGGGCTGAAAATTCTGTTGAAGCAAGATTTAAGGAAATCTGTTGAAGACTTTCAAACCTTTGAAGTCAGCTTTGCAACGTTTTGAAATCAGCCTAAAGGCCTTATAAATAGCGTCAAGATATGCTGAAAAAACAACAACAAGAACAACAACGACGAGAACTCTCAAGAACTATCAAGCTTTATACACTATAGCAAGAGTGTTAAATATTTTCTCTCTAAATTCTTTAATACCTTATTGTGTGATTAGATGGAGAGAAAAGAAAAGTGTATCTAAGAGTGGAAAAAGTATATATCAAAAGAGTGATATACTTAGAGTAAATTTATAATACTCAAAGTATAGTAAAAGTGAGTTAGCTTTTATTTCTGGGAATTGAGTGTCTAAGGTGTAGCGGGAAGTGCTATGGAGAGAAGATAGTGAGATCTTCTAGGTTGCTTTAGAACTCTAAGGGAAGAAATAAAAGTTGGTTAAAATCCTACGGGTTGGACAACCCTAGGCGGAGACGTAGGCCTTTGTGCTGAACTTCGTAACAATTCCTTGTGTTTATTTCTGTTTTTATTTTTGCCTTATTCTTACTTTCGTTCTTTGTTTTAAACAGTTTTAACAAAATCCAAAACAAACGTTTATAACCTTCTGCTTACTAACTGTTTTACTTTAAATAATTTTCAAAGTCTTGATTTATAAAACAAAGATCAGTTTATTCCGCCCTGTAACTGATCTCAAGGCCTTGACATTTTCAGTTTTGCGAAAAACGCCCATACTCTATTCAACCCCCCCCCCCCCTTCTAGAGTATTAATATGTTTATTCCATTACCATTGTGATCCTTTCACATAGGATCAGAAATCCTACCTATTTTCTTTAACACTATCAATACAGACATATACAAGATAAATATTCCATTTATTCTTTCCATATTCTTCATTATATCCAGCGAAGGAAATGGTGCAACTGTGCAAGTATATTTCCTATAATATTTCATGCCATTTTTAAGAAAAAGCTATGCTAACAGTCTATAATTACATGTCATCTAGTCCACCTTATTCAATACCAAAATAGCCTTGTATAGCCAAAACAGATTGCTTGAAATACAAGGACACCAAACATTAGCTTACCGTTTCACCATCATCCCGGGTGGTACCAGTAGAATTTATATAAATATATATAGGTTCCTTTGCATCCATCCATTGCAAGTACATCAGTTCTGCAATCACAAGCTCCGTGACAGCAGGAACCAACTGGCAACGAATCACATTTTTTAATCATACTACAAACATCTGCATGTAACTTTTTAAGAGAGAAAACAGAGCAACTTGAAACACTTAGACAAAAAGAGGGGAGGGATACACATAAGCATTACCTATGATCATATTGCTTGTCATCTTTTCTTAAGGACAAAATAAATTAGACAATTTGACATCAGCAGAATAATTTTATAATAAATCAAACCAGATCCTCAAACAAACATTGCTTCACTTCACACCAAACACTGCCTTAATTTATTCATGTCTATATCTAACCACCATTCTAAATGGAAATCTTATTGACCAGATCCGTGAGTACAGTATACTACCAACATCACTAAATTAGCTTACTGAATAGTGAATACCCAGAAAACAGTATAGTCCCCTCAATGGGTTAACACATCAGAATGGCATTTTAACTAGGTTCTTTTTACTACCTTGAGTCCATGATGCCAAGTTGCCAACTAATTTATATACCTCTGCCTTAGCCAAGCCTTCATTGGGGAGGAGGAGAGAGGATGAGAGTATCAAATTATATTTATTCGTAAAAGTGAAAATGTAATCTAACTGCAATGCAGCCACAAGATTAATGAAATACAAGAATTAATGTATGACTGGACAACTTAAAATTACAAAATACCTGTCACCCCACAACACAGAGTCTCAAAATTATAGTTCTTAAAATCATAAACTTCAGTATACCTACCCCACACTAATTATTCACAACAAAAAAACAGAATAATTGCACAAGAATACTTACAGGCATCCCTATGTAAACAATTCTTCCATGAAGCAACAAAGAAGGCAAATCTGGTGGAGGCCTCCTCGGCCTGTGCTCATTGTAAGAAACCGATCTTTCCACCTAGTTCAAAATCAAGCAAGTGTAAAGAATCAGAAGATCTCCAGAATAAGAATCAGATATTGGACATCATGCTGAAATGGATGAGAAGATAAGACCATACAACAAAAAAGTGGCCATTACAATCATTTAAAGTAAGCTTGCTCATGGAGCAAACAATTTAACTCTTTCCAGAATTTTGAGCTATAGCAATGACCATAATGCTCTTTGTTCCACCTTTAGAAAAACAAAATGCAAGAAAATCACTAATATGAACACCGTGAAACAAGCTAATTGTGGCATCCACAATCAACAATTGTACTAGTAAATGCTACAGCCTCCACATTCCAAAATGCTTCATAGGCTACTCTTAGCATTATGTACTGAAATAGCAATCTTATTCAATTCTATCTATCGGCTTATAATAGCTTTTCCCTCCTAACAATCTTTTTCATGAGTACACACTTTGCTTTTCTTCCTGAATTTCCAATTACACTTAATATCACCTCTTATAAAGTAATAATTATATCCTCACCAAGTAATCTCACATTTATCTACAACACCCTCAATACTCAAATCTCAAAAATGCAAGTTCCATCAAACTCCACAAAAAAACCAAGTAATCAAAGAGACTGCTCAATTACCCTTGTAGCTATGAGAACTTCTCAAGACCCCTAAGGCCCTATTACTCAAGCTAATCACGGTGTCACACTCGGCATCATTAGTTAACATTACTAACATCACAAAGCTCCATAATACAGACTACACTTACATTATCTAACCAGAATTCAATTTCCTATAATTCTATCTAAGTCACACTTAACAAGACTTGCGCTTTGTTTTCCTCGCAACTTTTCATCACCACTCGATACCTCCTCGGAATCGTAAATATATAATCGTCACAATTATCCTTACATTCCTCTACTATACCCTCAATATTCAATCTCAAACAAACAAAATCCATCAAAATCAAACAACAAACACCAAAATAGTTATCATCCCTTGTTATTACTTACTAAAATTACCATATAAAAAATTCAAACCATCAGTAAAACAAGATATAAATTCGATAAAATTGGAAGAAATTAAGGTAATAGCGCAGTTATAAATGGTACCTGAGCAGGAGTAGCCATGAGTTGAGGAGAATCGAACAAATCCAAATAAGGAGGAGAATCCGAATCAAGAGGCCTATTAAGAAACGTTTCGGGAGAATTAGCAGCAACCGAAGCAAGTTTCTTAAGAAAAGGGTCTTTAGGGTTAACTGGGGGCATAGGAATTTGAGCAGAATTTCTGGGTTTCATCGATAAATTTGTTCTGAAACTTCTTCTAGTTGAATTAACTGAGGTTGAAGACGATGAAATTGAGCAAGAAGCCATTGGAACCTGCAAACAATTTGCCATGGATAATAATCTGAGATTTTTCAAGCTTTGTAATCTGAAAATGGTGGTTTAATTTGTTGTTAGTTTTGGGGATTTTGAGTTTCTGGTTAGCCTGCTACTGCTGAGGCTGAGCAGCTGATTCCAGAGAGAGAGAGGCAGTGATGACTGGGGCTTAGAAGTTGGGCTAATAGGATATTAGGATGGGCTATATTTAGAGGCCCTCGGTTTTTTATTACGTGCATCCTGATGTATATAGACAATATACGGAATAACCGAGTAAGCAATCTAGCTTTATATGGTTTGGACGAAATCTTATGAGCTTAGAGGTGGTGGTTCAGTAGAATCTTTCATTTTACCTAAAAAAAAATAGATTGAAACTCTTTAGTCTTTAATTCTTTATAATCCTTAACTCATTCCTAAATAATCACAGGTGGTTGTTGTACTTGTTAGTGTATAATTTTGAACATTAATGTACATAGTAATGATAAATTTTAGAATATTTCAGAAACACATTATTGTATATATAAGTATGTTTAAAAATTAATGTGTAAATGGTGCAAAAGTCCACATTGTTATGATTATCTAAGGGTAGAGTAAGTAAAAGTTTTTTTGAACATAAATCTTAAATACTTTATAAAAAAAAAAAAAATTGATCAATTTCAAACTTATTTGAGAAAATTGACTGTATATGTGTGGGTGTTCATCTATTAACTATTATTAAAACAAAACGTTGCTGACGTCATTACTGTCCACATATCATTCACATAATAATTTTTTTCCCGGGTAAATGCATGGATGATGCCATATTTAACAAGTTTGAAATTTGAATATTAGAAACTTTTACTTTACAACTAAACCTATTGATTTATCTTTAAAAAATGAAACAATTGTAAATAGCACACTAATAAATGGACTCCTACATTGAAATATGTATTAGGCAACGTTTAACAAGTATTATATCATAATTTTGATGAAAATCTAAAACTATAAAATTACAAATATTTTTGTATAACCTGCATAATTCTTATTTATATTTATCCATTTTTCTAAATAAAGTACAAATTATAAAAATAGATTTTATATAAACCGTACATCGCACGGATCCTAACCTAGTATTATACTAAAATTAAGTTTTGGGGCGAATTGTTAAAGTTTTGGGTTAATTTGATTCAAATTCTATTAGCAAAAAATGATAACTCAAATAATGGCATAAGTAGAAGTAATTGAATTTAGCTCAATTCAATTCTACCTTGTTTGCATTCGTCCAAATCATGTAAGTTGGATCGAATAATTAGTTGTGGATAATTTTGTCATGGCTAGTATATGGACAAGTTCTTCCCAAGAATTTCTATTAAATATTCGATATCTCACTTCAAAAATAACATGTTAACAAGACATTTCAAGAATTTTGTTCAAGTCACTGTCTCACTGAACTAAGGAAACATGTTACCACTTACCAGTTGTGAATGAAGAGTGTTTAGCCGGGTTATTCTAACTTCTTAGGCCATGTTTCCATACACCAAGTCACCAACTGGATAACATGGTGCATAATGGCAACTTAGCAAGCTACTTCGTATTTATTTGTGTATTATACTATTGAAGGCGGTTCACAAACCACAACATACGATACTGCCATAAGTCTTACTTGCCATCCTCGACATACTACAGAGACCAACAAAGTACCAGCAAATATTTATCAAAGAAACGAGAAGTCAAGTACAGCAAAATGTTAATCTTTTTATAAAACAAGATTTCTTAAAACAGCATCCAGAACAGATTTATACATCATTACCATCAACTGAAGGTCTGAAGAATAAAGCAATAGATTTCCCAAAACCAAACATGAAAACAAGAACTGAACAGAAACACCACTAACATATTCTAACAACCAAAACTGCATTCCATAACCAAAAGCTTCAAGCTATGATCTATGAACATCCTCTTTTTTCTTTTTTTCTATTTTTTTTTTTTCCTGTTTGCAAGTTATAAAAAGAGTGATAAAAGCTCAGTGTGCAGCGGCAGGAACAGCAACACCATTTCCATCAGCAGCAACAGTCTGTGTCTCCCCATCCTGACTTTCAAACACCTTCGCAATCTTGTCAACAGGCACAAAGGGCAAATAGTTGGCAACTCTGTAACCCCTCTCAGCACCAACTTTCACAGTTTGATTATACTTCTCAGAGCACAAGGCTGCTGTGGGAACAATTACCTCAGCCACCTTGGGGAAAAGGGGAAGGCGGTTGAGTGACCGCCATGCTGAAACAGCATACTGCTCTGCTACTGGCTCATACTTGGTATAGATCTCTTTAGCTGTGGGCTCGTATTTGGTGTAGACATCCTTTGCAAATCCAGATGCAGTATCCACCACACCTACACGTTGAACTTCTGAGGCTACACCACGAGCTACCTCAGGTGCCTTTTGGGCCGCATCGAAAGCTCTGCTGGATACCTGCTTCACTAGGGGTGGAACACTATGCTGCACCTTGGACAAAGTGTCATCAACCTGCCAGCATCAGTTACACATAATCAGAAATACAGAATTGTAGTTCTTTTTTGCAATGAACAGTATGACATATCACAAATGGTATTAGCTTACAGTAATGATGATCAAATGGGAAGGCATCTTATACTAGCTGGTACTAGACTACATGATCCTACTATTTTATACATGCCAATGCTACGAAATATCCAAATGTAACATAAATGATGTCTAATTACAATTACCGCAATACACTAAAATTGACCGTGTTCATTTAAGAAATATCATCATTGAAAAAACCTCCACTATGAAAAAAAGTAGGAACAAGTAGTCTAGTACCAGCTAAGATGTTAATTTTCTCCTCTTGGGAAGTCAAAACAAACAATAGCATATGCATAACATTCACGAAAGAGGATAGACACAATCTATTCACATTTCACAACATTCTCAACTGAAATCTCAGCAAAAAGCATCGAAAGAATCCTTTTTTCTCATAGCTTTTAACAAGACATTAACACAATCTAGTAGTGATACGAGGTACTTGTTAGTACCCTGTGCAAACACAAAACAAAACACTATTGAAATTGAGGAAATATGGCCAAGAGTGAAGGATATATAACAGGAATCAGAATAAAGTGGCTGACCTTGCGATCAACAAACTTGAGAAGTTCAAGAGGAACTTCATGAAACCGGTCATAAACCGGACGGACAACAGTCTTAACTGTACCCTCGACAGTCTCGACACCAGGCTTCAACGGCCCGGACTTGTCCTTAGCATAACCATAGATGTTTGAAAAGCATAAAATGGCTTGCAGTGCAGTAGAATGCACAAATTCAAAGTACTTCAATCTTTCTTCTTCGCTTCCACTCTTCTGTAACATACAAACAACGATCAGTAACTTCTTATAAAATGCTTTCATAACTCAATCATTCATTATTAATTGTAGCAAATGTTTCTCAATCCAAGTTCCAATTTACACTTTCATAACGCCATTATTATTCATCTTTTCACTAAATACACTTTAATTACGCCATTAGTATTCTTAAATTTTTTTTAAAAAAAAAAAGTAAAAATACAGATTCAAACCAAAAGTCTATCTAATTCAGACAAACATCCAAAAAAACAGAATTAAAAGATTGTTGTGCCCGGAAAAATAACAGACGTTGTAGCAGAACAAGCGAAAAATTATTTGAAAATAATAAAGAAATTCGAGCAACAAATCGACAATTAGCAATCAAAATCCTAGAAATCAAATCAATAACTGAATCAAGTCAAACACACCAAAACAGAAAAGAAAATCATCAAAAAATAAAAAAAAATATATCATAAATTGTAAAGTCAATTGAAAAAAATCAAAAACATTACAAAATTAGAAAGAAAACTACAATACGTAACAAAATCATACCACTTGCTTCTCAACTTTGAAATCACCTTCCGCCATGTTGTGCAACGCCTTCTCAAACAAGAATCAAAGCGCAAAACTTAGGGTTAAGAACAAAAATTAACGAAACAAGAAATTTGAGGAATAAATTGGCGTGAAATTCGTTGGTCTAATGAATTTATCAAAGAAAGAAGGATTGATTCGTTCCAAATCTGGAGAGAAAATAGGAGGAGGAGAGAGAAAAGTCTTGGAAATTGGTGACGATGTGATGAGTGAATCACCGAAATGCATGAAGCATATAAATATAGAGGAAATGAAAAGGGGGGTGGGAATTCGGGAAGCCGTGTGCGGGAGAAATTAATAAATGCGGACCAATAGTTTGCTTAATTTGGGCATTATTTTGACTACTTGGTCGTTAAGCTAACCATTTGCCTTTCCTTATTTTTCCATCTACTCTGTATAAAATAATTAAATAAATACTCGTATATTATTTCCGGATTGTTTTATTATTACCGACGTTATTAATAAAAAGGCGTTTAGGTGTATGAAAAAATACAGAAAATGTGAATATGTAAAAATATTATAGAATATTCGCGAGAATGTAATGTAAATGGAAAAATGAGATTTGTTAAGAATAGAATGTGTAAAATAATAAAAGGTTTTGGTAAAAATAAGTAAATCATTATGAAAGGTGAGTTGAACAAGAAAATACAAAAAAAGGAGTATTATTTCATATATGATAGTTATACAGTAACTTATAACAGTTATAAGAGCTAGTTATTAATTATTATTGTTTCGGTTGAAAACAATGGGACCTTGCCGAAGGTCCACTGAAATGGAGAAGACTGGATTCGATCCAAGTTGTGTTGGGCCGAAGGTTTCCTGCACAGTGAACACGCGTAAACTAGCCTCGGGGGTGTTTCCGAGGAAGGCCCCTCCGATGCTAAAGTCAGTACAATGTGTAAAAGGAAGACACTATGCAAGAGAGTTTGTAGCTTGAGGCTTTTGTGGAATATTTCTGAATGCCAGAATGAGCATATGAATCTGAATCTCCTATCTCCCCGTGAATGTGTCAATATGATGGCTTTTATACCTCATCATACATGGAGAGGTTGGGCTTTAGCCCAATTGGCTTACTTTGTGGGCTGACCTTTGACCTTTGAGCAATTGGAGAGTTGAACCTTGACCTTGGGCTTTTAATTCGATCATTTAGTGCTTAGGCCCAATTTTGACTAAATTGGACCCAAACAACTTGCCCCCCAGACCCGATTTGGAAGGATGACGGGTCGGGTTTGATTTAATTCAGAAAAGGAGGGAAGTAAATGATTTAATTGATCCAAAAATTTGAATTTAAACCGTAATTAATGAGATAACAACGGTTAATGATTTGCGGAAGTTGGACGGATAATGGGCAGTTTAATCACAAGACATGTGTTTAATGGCTACTTAGTGGGTATTTAAGAGAAATTAAAGCACAGACTCTTCGTATCCCGTACCTGGAGATATAAACAGAGGCGCGTCATTCTCCTCACTTATTCACCAACACAAACCCAGAATTCTTCGAGAGAGAAACCAAGAACCCGCATCAAAACTTCGCAAATTCCCCGAGCATTGAGCTTAGAAACTGAGACTTGCCACTACGAACTCGTAAATCGGCAACTTTCGCTTCAGATTAAGGTAAATTCCTTTGATTTCAGTTTATTTTTTCTTCGAATTCGAACTCCTTCCCCTTTTCTTTCGACTTTTCTCTTCGAAATAATCCATGGCAAGAGGAGTTAGAGGTAGAGCCCGTGCTCCAAGAAGAGCAAGGCCGATTCCCGATCCTAGGAACAGGATTGGGACCTGGAATGGTCAAAGGCCGGAGTCTGACCCTGCTGAAGGGATTAGGGCGACTCCCCTTTCCTCGGCTCCTCCTCAAAGAACGGATGAGCCGAGCGCTTCTGGACGGGATGATGAAGTTCCCGCTGTCCTTTGGGATATCCTCCCTGGGTTTTCAGAGTGGGAGAATGCCGAAGTCGTTTCGGCCATGATAAAGAACCGCCCCTACTCATGGTGGGTAGAGAACGCCGATCAATATCGATTTGCCGAGCAAATTGAGTTGCATTACGGCATTTTTGAAGCTGATGGATATTGGTGCCGAATGCCCTCAGCATCCGATAGAATCCATCGTCCACCCCCGGGGTATGTGGGGGTGTACACAAGACAGCTTCAGTATGGGCTGAGGTTCCCTTTGGACGTTTTCGTCCGAGACTTGCTGATCCATTACAACATTTCCCTATGTCAGCTAACCCCCACCAGCATCCGAAGGGTGATGACATACTTATGGGTCTGCAAGTTCTTCAAGTACGTGCCGAACCTGCACTGCTTCAGAAAGCTCCATCGGCTAGTGCCAAATATTCAAAGTGGGCACGGAAGCCATGGTTCTGGGTGGTATCGGATTGAGTCCCGGCCCCAATACTTGACCATGTGGCCAAATGACTCTTCAGACAAGGACTGGAGAGGTCAATGGATTTGGGTTAGGGCACCCACAGATCCGGGCCACCCTTGCGTCTTCAGCGCTCCCCGGTACTTAGCTGAGCCTGATCCCGAAATGGGAAGTCTAGGTCCCCCCGCAGATAACGGGGCGGATCCGAACCTGGATCAGCAACATATCTTCGGCAAGCTGCCGAACCCGGGGGGAAGTGGTCGAATGCAGCATATCCCGGAGACTTGGCTCCCCGATACGCATTACGTTTTCCAAGAGAACATGCTAGCAGCTGTTGGCCTCAGCCGAAAGTTTAAGGATGGTAAGCTTCTTCGGCTGGGGCCGAGGCTTTTTAACCTCTTTTTCTTCTCTCGCTTTGCTTTTTTTTATGCTGTGCCGACATATCTGAGCTAAACTTTTTCCCTTTCCTTTTTTCAGAGCGGGACGAGACCAACGTTGGTATTAACTACGCTCGTCTTGGTGTTAACCGAGAGCGAGTTGTAACTGAACGGGCCCCGTCTATCACTGAGCCGAGGCATAGGGAAGTTCATCTGGATTCTTCCCACTTCCAAATTGAGGCTGTTGCTCTGTACCAGAGGCAGAAGCCTTGGTGGAAGAAGAGAGACCCTTTGTTTCAGCTGCTGAACGAAGAAGCTGAAGCTGCCCGCACAGCCGAAGAGGTTGCACGGGTACTTGAGGCTTGCGAAGGAGGAGAAGGGTCCTCCAGAGCTGCTGAAGCCGAAGCTGCAGCTAGAGCAACTGAAGAAGACGAGGCTTTGCTGAAAACCTCGGTGAGCTTTCAGACAACAAAATTTTTTTTTTTTTTTTTTTTTTTTGTTTTTTTGTTTTTTTTTTTTTTTTTTTACTCACATTCTTCTTCCCCCCTGTCTGTTACAGTCTGAAGAGAGTAACAGACACAGAGAAGGCAAAGCTCCTGTTCGTCCCGAAGACCAAATACAAGAGTCTTCAGACTCAGATATGGACGAGCAGCCCCTTCTAAAAAGGCGCCGAAGGATGGCCATCATCGGCCCTCATGACTTTCAGCAGAGGCCGATGACCATCGGCGTCGCAATAAGGGAACCTGAGGAAGGCAATGGATCGCCGAGGGTTCCCCAGCCAACACCCCAATCTCCTCAAAAGACCCCTCCGCCACCTCCTGAGATGGAGGTGGATCAGAGAACTCCCGAACCTAAGGGAGGGGTCCCAGAAGAAATGAAGAAGAGTGCTGATGAGCACGAAAATAAGGATGCCGTGATGTCCAGCGCTGAGGGCTTCACGGCAGACATCGCAAGAGAGGTTGAGGCTTTCGTCCTCACCCCTGAAGAAGAGGAGGTCATAGTAATTGACTCCTCTGAGAAGGATGATGCTGAGACAACCAAAGCTAATCAAGCTCCATCGTCATCCTTCCCTTCTTTCCAGACTCTGCATTCTGGAGAAATGGGTTTCTCGGCCCCCCGAATTCCAATCCCAGATCACATCTGGGACCTCATATGGGGTCAAAACCGAGAAGGAGCTGCAGCCTACTTCGGCAATTTTGCTGGCATGTCCGAAGTAGACAGGGCAAGGATCTGGTCGCTGAAGGCCACTGCTGGGATGGGCGAATCCAGCAGATCAGTTCCTGACCCAGCCAGGTCTAACCAACTGCTGATGATGCAGGTAATTTTCCTTCATTTCCTCCGAAATTCAGCTCTTTATATATATATATATTTTTTTTATTTATATTTATTTATATTTTTTTTTTGTCTTCCTGTTTTCAGTTCGTGCACAATCAGACTCTCACTGTAGAGCTGATAGATACCCTGCAAGATAGGGTAGACGCTGCTGTGCACGAAAAGAAGGTGGCTGAAGAGGAAGTTAAGCTTGCTAAGCTGAAGCAAGCAGCAGCTGAAGAGAAGCAGCAGGAGGTTGAGGAGTACGGGAAAAAAGCTTCCGAAGCCCTGAAAACCTTCTGCGATGCTATGGAGAAGGAAGTTTTTCCCCCACTGATGGAAGGGGAAAAATTCCTCCAGGAGCATATGGGAGTGGACGTCTCCAAATTCAAGGCTGCCGTTGAGAGCCGAATTCAAGAAGGAACTGCTGCACAAGCTGAAGTGCAGCAGCGTCTAGAGGCTCTTGAAGCCAGCCGAATGGCTGCTGAAGAGTTGCTCCTGGCCAAAGACGTCCAACTCTCAGAGGCTGCTGCTGCTGCTGAAGCCCAAAGAGCTAAATTCCAAGAGGCTGAGGATCAATTGCTGATCCAGAAAGTTGAAATGGTCCAAGCTCAGACAAAGGCTTTCCAAATTCAGCAAGAGCTGAATGAGCTGAAAGGTTCCTCCTCCAAAGTCGCTGATGAGCTGAAGAAATCCAAGGAAAACTTGGAGGAGACCCAGAAGAAGCTGGCTGATGCTGAGGCTTTACTCAAGGTCCGTGTTTATACCCAAGAGGAATATGAGATGGGTTTCAGAAACGGATTCCGAGTATGCCGAAGAGTCTGCCTTCATGCTGAGCCGAAACTGGACTGGTCTAAATGTGCTGAGTGGGTCCAGAATCCCGAAGACCCTCACATGAAGTATGCAACTCCAGCCGAAGCTGAAATTCTCAAGGCTGAGGAAGCCGAAGAGGAAGCTGAAAGACTGGAGTTGGAAGCTGAGCAGAGGGAAAGGGAGGCTCGGCAAAGTGCAAAGCCCGCTTCTTCTGCTGCTGGAGCTGAGGCCACCATGGGGCTCAACGCTGACCAGTCTGATCCTCCGGCTGAAGCATAGGAACTCGGGCAGTCGTCTTCAGAATCTTGCGGTTCATCATGTGCTTAACTTTAGACTTGCCGCTTTCTGAGTTTTTTGCCTTGTTTTTTGCTTCAGCTTGCCTTGTCGTACAGCAGTTTTATTTTTTTTGCTTA